TGTGGTTTCAAGAATTGTTGTTATAGTTTTTCTGTATAAATTAGCCTCATAATATTTGTATTACTGTATTAGCTTGATACTCTTCGAAACGTCGCCCAAATAAATAAGTAGCTGTTTTTCCATAAGTATGTGTTATAGTTTATTGCTCTATCCAGTTATTAAATGCCTCTCAAAGATTACTCTGACATATCGTGACATAAAATAAATGGCAATACAATTATATCTGTATTCTGTGGCGATATGCAATAAACTACACTTATTTTTATATAACCATTAACTCGGTGACATCTCAATTGTATTACAATTTCTGTTTTGCTTTTGGGTGTTAATGACATTTAGGTTATACCAATCTACAGTTCTCTACGGGCTTAACTTGTATTAAAATTAAAGTTCATAAGCTTAATATGGGACAAACAGCCAAATAGCATCGATCTATTTGAAGAGTCCCACTAATCACAGACAAGAAGGTTTCTTTGCCAATAGCGACCAAATCATTGCAAAACGTGGCCGACAAGGAAATATATATTATAGATATGCATATTCTACTCACCATATCCAAAAATAAATACTTCTAATATATCCATTTATATAGCGCAAAATCAGCAAAAATATATACAAAAGTTCATTGATTCCAAGTTTTTTGTTAATTGTTTGTAGTGAATTTTAAAAAAGATAAGCCTTTAGTCGAGATTTGAAGATTGATAAAAAAAAGTCACAAAATTGAGTTAGCTTGGGGTGAATTCCATCTTTCAGCGGCGGCAACAGCGAATGCTCTCTGTTCAAAGGCTGCAAGTGTCAACGTTGGTACCACTAGATGATTGAATGCAACTGTCTTTTTGGAATATACTGTTGAATTAATTCACAGGGTAACCAGTAGCTTCTCCACTGACACACTAATATGTTAGACAGAGTACTTTAAAGTCTATCCAGGCACTGACTAGTAACCAATGAAGGGTTTGGAGAACTGAGGTTATGACAACGGTGTGGAGATCTTGTGACCATTCTAGCAATGAGATTTTGAATGGGCTCAAGGCGATTTAGTTGGTTTTAGGATATTTCGGACTATTAAAATAGTCTAGTCGAGAAAGAATTAATGATCTCGCTAGAGCTGAAGCTGAATCTTGTGTGAGAACATGGCGGAGCCGAAAAGGATAACTTCGGTTTTATCCGCATTTAAATTAATCCAGGTTGCAATTTGTCCGATACCTGTAGCCATTTTTGTGATCACTTCTGTTTGATCTGATCCAGCTGAGTAAACGAATCTAAAAGTTGAGTATCGTCAGAATAAAGATGGTGACCTATATAATTTTGATTTAGAACATCTCCAAGCTGCTTGTATACCTGGTAGAAAAACATGTCCTAAAACAGAACCATCATTTGTCTGAGTTGACGATCACAGATCGATTTAATGGCGAGATGCCAGATAAGATCTAAACCATTTCAAAAACAGCCCCATTAATACCAAAGTCTTTCTAACGCCGGAAAAGCAGTGATTGGTGGTCTGTTGAGTCGAAAGCTGCGAACAGATCTAATAATATCAGCAGTGAAACACGCCCCTTATCCAGAGACATCTAAAGGTCGTTTACAGCTTTGTTTAAGGCTGTCTTAGGGGTCTATAAGTTTACTAAAATTCACAAACCAAGTTGTTTCTCTCAAGATAATCAAATAACCGTGTTTGACCGCCTTTTCCAGAATCTTGGATAAAAACTGAAGATTGGAAACTGGTCTGTAATATTTAAGAATATGTGGATCGAGGGATTTTACCACAGCTAATTTGAAGAGTGCTGGAACTGTACCAATTACATGGCTTGTATTGATAATGCTGGTGATTGTTGGCAGTAGAATTATATGTCCAGATATGATAGAAATACACTAAATACTTGCATAACAAAATGAAATAGCTATAGAAATACACTAAATACTTGCATAACAAAATGAAATAGCTATGTAATACCAACAACAAGAGACTATAGCCCACACTGCATAAACTATTTATAAAACCCATAACTTTATAAAACCTCAATGATGTGCTCTAAATTTTGCTCAGTGGTTCTTGGTAACCCTTTGGTCACATAGACTTGCTAACGATCTATGTTTTAAATATATAGAATAAGTCTTTGCATGAATATAATAGTATCATAGTGTGCCACGTATTCACCAATATTAACGTGTAAATCACAAACTATAACACATCCTTTCGTTACATCCTTAAGAAGCAGAGGACTGACAAAATGAAGCCACAAAAAGTCATTTATTTAATAAGACGAAATATCTGAACATATTAATATTCTTGGCTGTGCGCATTACTGTCTTCAAACCTCCTTTCAACCAATTTAATGATGGTGTATTCAACTATTCAAACAGCGTGACCCTGCACCCAGCTAAAACAAAATATCATGCTTCAATTTCAGCCGACATTTAGATATATCTTGTGTAGTGTTATTGTCAGTTATTTGACAAGAGACAAGTCGTGTATCTGTTAATGGAAAAGTATCGTTTTGGTGTTAAGGTTGTAAAGCATTTCAAATTCTTCGGAAGTGATGGTAGTGTGAAAAAATATTTATAGTGATGGTTCTCAAAATATGAACAATTACTTCAAAGACATTGAACGACCCCACTGCTTCACTTCAATACGTCACTAAGTGAAATGTCTGGTAAAGTTAAAAAGTGAGATTCTCAACCGCGATATATATTCCTTAAATTTACTTTTAAATGCAATTCTAGTTGATTTTCCTACATACGCTTGTGAATTGTTTTGAAGATCAAAATCGATCTAACCTTACTAACCGAATGAAAAGGCATCGTCGGGTTTTCCTAAAATCGTAATGTTACTCTCACATAGCGGCGAATATGGTGGCGAATGGGCTTACGAATATAATTCGCCAGTAGGTGTTCGTGCGCATTCGCGGTCGTAAATATAGTGTGGAGAATATTAGGAACATGCTCGTTAAATTCACCAGGAAAGAATATTTTCTTTGTTTCGCAACATCCGTAAGCAATCACGAACCATTTGTAAGGAGACTCTAGCATCTGTCTTGACTTGTTGGCGACAGGATAAAGGATTCGTAAGAAATTCGCAAGCATTCATAAACATTTGTAAGCCTCACTTTTGTCAATATTTCTTCAGGCCAATCGTATCATTTTCGGGGAATTGGAAATTGCCATATTCGCAATGATATTCGTCTCTGTAGAAACATTAACATTAGCATTAGAGTAAAATTAGCATATTTTTAATGAGAACTAAGATGTAATTATTGACGTTCTTATTACCACTGTTGGTGAACAAAAATAGAAAAAATAGAGCGTTAAATCCCATAAGGCCTATTATATCCTTTTCTAATTAATGACCTCAGTATGTAATAATATCTTATTAGTTAAACAAACAACTTGCAATTACAAACATGAGCTTTATATGGTAAGGTCTGTCATTGAGTCAAATGTTGTGGTTTCGATTCCCAGCTTGTACGTGGGTTTTCTCACATTGCTAAAGACCCCTACTCGCAAGCCGAGTGGACCTTAAACCTTATTTGTCTCTCTTGTTGGGCCCTTAAAAGTATGTTTGCACGCCAAATACCGCCATTCCTTTCCAATACAATAATCGATATTCCTTTATTAGTGATATCATTAACTTATTCCAGGATATCATCCGAGCTTTTTAGCTCGGAAAATTCCCAAAAGCGATTGTATAATATCAAATCTCTATATGTGTGTGCTTATTGTTTATTTCAGCTTTATTAAAAAGAACACAAGCGCTTGTATAATATCACATCTTTATACGTACGTGTGTGCTTACTGTGTATTGCAAGTTGTTAAAAAGTGCTTGTATAATATCAAATCGTTATACGTGTGCGCTTACTGTTTATTGCAGGTAGTTAAATAAGGGTACAAAAGTTTGTATATGAAATCTTTATACTTGTGTGCTTATTGTTTATTAAAGGTTTGTTACAAAGGCAATATTCACGTTAGATTACACCATTCCATATCTAATCAATTAGAGTAATTAAAATCGATAACTCTTCAGTGAAAGATATTTTTATAACTGAATAGGCTTTAAAATGATATGTTTATTTGTGTCTATGTAACTAAAGTTATTTACATTCGATTAAAGCAAACCTCATCTCTCTGAAACAGGCTATAGCAACTACCGCGGTATTTTTTTTCAAATACAATTAGTTAATGTAGACACAATCTTATTTGCCTGCTTTATCTCAAGTTTTACAGTAAAAGAAACTATAGCTCTGGTGAAGTCAGGTTGTCTGTCATGAACAAAATTAAGTCTTTAGGGTCTTGGTTTAACCTGTTTATTTCTTACATACGTCTCCAAAACCAAAACCAGATATCATCATAGTTTAAAAAAGAAGACGTATTAAACACGACCATGTATTACAGCCAGTGTTTTATAAAACTGTATCTGGAAACACTACCCGTCTGCTTCCACATTATAAATTAAATTGAATAACCTTGGATACCAGCAAAATATAGAAGTGCTATCCTAGGTTAGACTATACACCCTGTTACTGATAAGACACATTTCGGTACATTTAGTATTTATGTTCTTAGTAGTAACTCAATTAAATTAATGTGTTTGGTTCGGAAATTGTTCCGTTCTAAGAGTTGCTCTGTGACTTACATTTCGTTATACCCGGTCTTGGGACACACTTATTCCCAACAAACAGTCTTTTCAAACTGCATTAAATGTTCCTTGCATTATGCTTCCTGTATTAAATAACAGCTCAATAAAGAGAAATATATGCACAGACATACGGTTTTGACATCCCGTTAGAATATGGGTCGAAGATGCACCCTTTACAGATCCGTATCTCAATTAGTTTTTTATTGAAAAGTTTTATCTTACATTAAGCTAGCCTTCATAACGCCTGAAACCGCTTTAAATGGCAATAGAGAAAAATCAAATTATCCCGAACAGAAGATTATTGATTGACTGTACGTGTGGACGACAAATCATTTTTAAACATATGGTAAAAAAAAATATAACATACTTTTTGGTGGAATACATTTTTCATGTCTATAACCACAGGCTGGTTCATCTACTGGTGGGGAACCGGCTATCCATTTTATAGTTTCCCCATCGTAATAGTGGAACGACTGAAAATGTGATAAAATCTTAGAGTGATTTATTTGATACTTGATAGTACTCGTATTAATTATATTGTTCTCGGTTGTTGGGATGGGTTTTATTTTTTATTTTTTTTTTGGGGGGGGGGGGGTGTCGAGTTTTTGTCTTTGGTATTTGAATAATTGAATAATAACTATCACTGGAAAGTGGAATATACATAGTAAATGGCTGTCACGGATTCAATTGTGAGCAACTATTGTTAATGTCATTGAGTACTTCTCTATCTATTAGATATAAATATGTTATATCAACAATAACAAAAGCAATTGGATTCGTGGTCTAAATGGATTCATGACGTACAGACTTTGTAGTAAAATATTTTGGGTAATAGAAATCGTTTTTTATCGGAGGCTAGTGGTATTTTGAATACCAAATTGCATGAAATTAATTACATTTACAACCAGCAAACGACCACAGGGGTCTGATTTTTTTTATTAATTCCAATGTCTTTCTGATTTAAAGGCCTCCCTGTAAGTTTTGTCTCGTAAAAAAAATTAATAATAGTCACATACCTAAAGTCACATTTGTGGAATGCACTGGGCATCAAAGACATTTGATATAAAATCATCGTGCCAATTTCTGCCATTCCTATGTTTAGTCCTTTAGCTACATGTGTGCCAAATATGACACACTATGTATAAATTGACAATTATGTTTTCATAGCTATTGGTAAAGATCGTATATGATTTTAGATTTATTTCTTAAATTTATACATAACGTGTCAATTTCTGTCATTCCTATATTTTGTTCTTTAGCTACATGTGTGCCAAATATGACCCCCTATGTATAAATTGACAGTTATGTTTTGACAGCTATTGGTAAAGATCGTATATAATCTTAGATTTATTTGTTAAATTCAACTTACTGGTAACTCAGTCAGATTTTCGCTTAAACGGAACACGCCAATAGGCAAGAGTCCCCATTCCCCTGGTACGCCCTGAACTGGTCGCCTAGCAACCAGAGAGAAGTTCCCTTCGGCGTCACCAACGGCATTTATTCTACTGATGTATCCCATGGCACCTGCATTAAAATTATAATTGTTGAGTTATACATAAAATATCCATTATAGAGGAAACGTAGCAATTAAATAAATTGCAATAATTCTCGCTGGCAGTTCATAAATATTTTTAAGCAATCGTATTTTTCAAGTGAAATCGAATTATTTTAATATTATTTATTTGATATCATGATCGTAATAGTGGAACAATTGAAAATCTAATTAAATCTTAGAATGAGTTTTTTGATAGTACAAGAAATTTAATTAACATAGCTAATGTCCGGCTTTTAAGGGCACATAAAATGACCATTTAAACGTTTTATGTACTTGAAGCTAGTGCGAGAATATACATTTTACACCAGACATTCATAATTCATTGAGGCAACTTCACTGAACCTCTCAAATATCTTCTTTGCGAATTATCTAAAACTCTCTCAAGTTCCAAAACTGCCAGTTACGTTACAGTGAGCAATTGTTTAATATTACAACTATATACATTCAGGGTGTGTATTCGTTAAAATCTTACTTCCCTGGGTATATAACCAAACTGGCTTCAAGTATACTATTCAAAAAAAGTAGGGGATATTTGATTTTTAAGTGTTATTAAAGTCACCTAATGAAACTGACGAAGAAACAAATGACAAAATGAAATGAAGTTCACATTCATCGATTTATTCCAAATGATCGTAAGACTAAGTAAGGCACAGACTGACCATTATAAGGGTAAAATGATACCCGGGGTCAAACAGCAAAGTTACCACAGCATCACAACCAAGTCAGTAACGGGTAAATCCTCCTCTGTTTGCCAAACAAGCATTGATCCGACGTGGCATACTCCTAATGAGACGTCTAAGGTCATTTTGGTCCAGATTGTCCCATTCCTGTTGCAACGCAGCAGCAAGTTCTTGGACATTGGCAGGACGTTGTTGACGTTGACGTAACATCTGTCCAAGCATGTCCCAGATATGCTCGATGGGGGAGAGGTCGGGACTCAGTGCTGGCCAAGGTAATGTGGTGATGTTCTGTTGTTGGAGGTAACCTGTAACGATCCTGGCCCTGTGACATCTTGCGTTGTCATCCTGGAAGATGAAACGGCGGCCATGACGTCGTGCGAACGGCACAACATGGACTGCCAAGATGTTGTCCCGGTAGTACTGGCCTGTAACACGCCCTGCAACAACATGTAAAGCCGTTCTTCCAGCAACAGTGATGCCTCCCCACACCATAACAGAACCACCCCCAAATCGATCATGTCTGATGACGTTAACGTCTTGGAAGCGCTCGTTTCGACGACGCCACACCCTCCTACGTCTGTCCAAAAAATCAACAGTGAACCTTGACTCATCTGAAAACATCACATTGCTCCAGCGTCGATTATCCCAGTGTTGACGATCCCTACACCAACGACGTCTTGCCTGAATGTGATGATCTCTCAAACAAGGGATCACGCGAGGACGTCGGGCGCGAAGGTGACCCCTATGCAGTCGATTCCGAATCGTCTGGCCACTCACTCTCACACCAGTGTCTGTTTGAAGACGAGCGCTGATCTGATTTGCTGTGATGACACGATTTCTCAAGGCCAAGGTACGGATAAATCGATCCTGGGTTTGAGTTGTCGCCCTTGGTCGACCTGAGCGTGGTCTGTCCTGTACAGATTGTGTATCACGGTATCTGGACCATAGCCTGCTTATGACAGACTGAGAAACATTCATCGTCCGCGCCACAACCGCCTGTGTTGTGCCGATCTGTAGCATGCCAAGGGCACGTAACCTTTCATTTTGGGTAAGCCGACGCATATCAAAATTTGTTTTCTGGTCACTAAAACAATTAAACTGATGTTTCCACCCTGGAATTCAATGCCACAATGACTGTAACATTCAAAGTCAGAGTCGTGCAAATCTTGGGTTGGACCCCCATGATGATCCCAAGCATCACCTGCATTCCATGCGGTAGCTATTGGTGCGTTTGGGCGTCACATGTAACTGGAAATGTTTCTTCTGTTAGGTTCTATAGTGACTTTTTTCGTAGTCATTTGCATATTTTAGTATTATGCCCCCAAAATCAAATATCCCCTACTTTTTTTGAATAGTATATAATATAATATACAACTGTGTGCTTCTTGGCAATTTTCAATTTCTGAATTTTAAATCCTCTCTTGATAATTTTTAAATTATTATGACTTTTTTTTAAAATTAAAGTATGCGATACTCAAAACTTATGTAATTGGTAGATAATAATATTTAGGCATATTCGCGCTGAAATAAAAACTATGCATAATCTGTATGTTTGTGGGGTGGGGATGGGGTAAATATATATGAAAAAAAATCAATGGAGTTAAAAACAATGTCATTTTTATATGAATTTTAAAAATGTCCAATAACCTATATAATGCTAAGTCAAGCACAAAGAAAAAGTTTGACACGAATAGAATGATCTATCAATGAGAACACACATTTTTTTAACAACCTCTTCTGAGATATTTTAAGAGTCTTGTCAGTATCAGATTACCAGGAAAAAAGTAAGGAATTAAACTAGGAAATTATCAAAGTAAAATAAATCAAGATTGAATAAATGGCACGAGATGACGAAATTCAATCATTTACCAGACATTCACCAGTGAACGGGAAAAGTCAAATGATTTATAGGTCGACACCAACAACATTATCCACAAACCACAGATTGAAATTGATTGTCCATTATCGAAATTCCATAAACTTGAAATTACCATAGATCTTATTCCAGCTAAAATACAGGGACTTTTTTTCTTGCCAAAATATAATTTGCACTTCAATGCTATACTAATGTATCTTTTCCGTGTTGGCTGTTTGATTTTTATAGAAATTAGAGGCCAAAAAAACAGAAGAAAGCTTCACAATACTTGAAGAAAACATAATCGCTTTCCTCTCTAGCATATTGATCGTTAACAATTCTGAACACACCGGTGTATTTTTTTTTATTAGTATTAATACCTAGTACGTAAATTAACGGGTCAAACTGTTGATGGATCCGGAGTCATTTCGTCACTCTCGACTGTTTCAAAGTGACTATCTCATTCATTGTATTATTCTCGGAATGGAATTTATAAACTGAAGTTAAGTTATATTATAGACGTTACGCTCGGGAATTAAATTTCAGTTCATGTATGCCATATCAATTACATGTATCGCATATTCCCTCTGAAAAGGCCAGCGCTTCTGGAAAGATTTTCAGAAGAATATTATGTTATTCAAGATAGTTTTAAACCAATAAAAGTAGGTACTTCACTTTTATACATGACATTTTGACATTTTGCAAATAAACGCAATTACTAGTCCGTAGTATCCATCGAAATACTGGCACAGATTTACAAAAGTGATGTACCCCATTATCAAAAGGAGGAACAGGGAATGATGGGCAAATTTTAGTAACTGCTAAGAAAGCTATTTTCCAATCAGGTTGTATTGGCAGTTTACCAACTTAAAACAACGGCTCTTTTCACATTACAAGTCATATTCTACTTGCATACTCAAGTGTTAAAATAACAAATAACAATCTCTAAGTAGAAAATATAACGTATAACGTTATTTGAAAGTTAATTTCAAGTACAACAGCTCGTAATTACCGTAAAAACCACATGAACAGAACGCAACATTTCTTCTAATGATACGCATGATAACGCTACAGAATCTAAAAATTAGTTCTAATGTAAAATCCAAAGATTAAGAAGTTGTTGTAACATTTTTTAACCAAAAGAGGCTTGTTTATCCAACACTATTCTTTGGACCTTATACACTGGGGTTTATACACTGTACATTGTACATTAACCCTGCATTTTATCTTACTTCTATATGTCATTCCCTTGATACTGTTTATGATTAGTTCTCCATTATTTATATCTCCGTTTGACGAAAGGATTTTATCCACCGCCTTGGCGTATAACCAAACAGCATCATATAAATAGGCAGCTTCTGGCTTTATCTGAAAGTAATTGAAAACATTCGGAAGTGTTTTACAAGGAGTGTTGTATTGGTATATTGGATCAATAATAAACTTGATATATAAACAATATATATTGTTCTTGTCTAAAACAAAGGGTGATAACCAGAATGCAAACATAGATTAATCTTTGACTTTGACTATATATTAGGATGTTTAATATTAATACTAGAGTGGAAACTTAAATAAGTCTAATCATTTCGCATCTGGGTTTTGTCCCGCTGAAATTTTAATAGACACAACTCTAAGGATCGATAAACTTCAAAATTTGCGAGATAAGGTATATTGAAGCTTAATACCCGAGGTTGTGCAGATACTCTAGCCCCAAGCCAACATCTTTACTTTTAAACTGAGTTCTTCTCATAGTCATTTACAATACATATACAATTTGCTCTCAGAAATGATCAAAAAAAAAACCGTCAAAAACCTAATTATTAACATTTACGGATATATGTTTCGGAAAATGCTTGTCATCAATAATTATCAAATCTGCTTCCATAAGAAGTGTAGAATTCTCCTGATAAATGGCTAAATCATTAGAAGTATTCCTGGTACATAAAATCAAGGTAGATTACAATGTCCGTTGACGATCTTTTCCGGATAAATCATATCAGGTATCCGTTAATTCCTAAATTATATTGAACTAATGAGTGTTAATTTCCGTTAATGGAAGTCGCCGGAGGTGTAATATATCGATATATGAAGTGGTAATGCCAATGTACGTTAATCTATATTCCGACTAGACAATGATGTACGTGACAGTCTGTCTGAACTCTGTCGTGTGGGTCGGTCTCACTAACAAGATAATATAATCTTTACGTCAGTCTATTTGACACTTAATTCATAGATCGTTTGTTTTATCATGATTCTAGATGTAAAATGACACACTGTCTCTGAAGAGATATATTACATATGCAGACGGGGAAATAATTTGAAAGATATTGGTTAATCCGTCAAAGGATTGTGACAAAGGAAACGCTGCGACGGAACATAATTACAAGTGGTGAGTTTCCTGCACGACATTCAAGTCATGAATATATTAAAAATTAAAAGATATAAGATGGGTATTATAAAGGCGGAACTATCAAGTTATTTGAAGATGTCGGTTAATCCTTGGCAGACTTATACAAAGGAAATAATTAGCAACACCCTCAACTTTCTCGACAAACATCGTGTCCGTCTAGTTATTAAGCCAGCGCGCTACAGACTTACAGGAAAACACTATTCATGGGAAGGAACATATATACACCTGTGCAGATTTAGAGATTACTCTGAATCCTTGTTATTGCATCATTGACCGATGTAATAAGTGAAGACTTTTAAATAATTGTATATCTCGAAGCATATGAAAGCTTTAAATTATGTAGTGTTAAAAGGTTTCTATAGTCAAATTGAGATGTCTAATATTGTGTAGATTAATTAAAACATGATTACCTGTTTCATGACTTTAAGATGTTTATAAGGATTGGTGTAGTTAAATGGTGGAGATTCCAGGAATTTGTTAACTATTTTTTCAAAATGGTCGTAATCTGGAAATATCGGCGGTGAGTGAACCACACCAACAAAATGGCGGAAGGCAGCTGCTGCTCTTCGTGTAACATTATTTTGAAATATACCTGGGAGAAAGATATTGTTAAAAAGAAAAAGGAACAATAGATTTCAAAAGAGCCTGAATTCCGATAAGACCTTTAGATTGATGGCTATTTTCACTATCGTATCCCAATGTCATTTAAATCTGGGTGTAATTTTGGTCCGTTTTGTGTCCAGATCTTATCATTCCCAAATATACATGTACAACATAAATTATGGTGTCTTAGCTGTAATAGAAAATGTAAACTTCACCCGTTAAGATCCAGACAATTCCCCACTTCATGATCAGATTCTTCTCATGTTTGAAAATAGGTTAATATTTGTAGAGCGAATATAACCAGAACAATATATACGATGCGCTATAATTGTCAAATTAGATAAATTAATTACCTTGTAAGAAATTCTGTGGTTTATTAAGGTCATAAACACCAACATGGACTCCAACAACAAAATACTCTCCAGCATCTAGAAGACCCGTATCTTGTAAATGATCCATTAACCCAATAAATTCATAATACGCCCCTAGCATTACATAAACTGAAAGTAGACAATAAACACAGTTAGCTTCTAGACTCTAAACGCAGTAGCTCCCAAGCATTGCATAACGTTGAAAGCAGAGACTAAATGCAGTTAGCTCCTAACCTAACCATTAAATAAGATGAAAACATACACTAAACGCAATAGATCGCCAGCGTTACATAAGTTGAAAGCAGACATTAATTAAACGCAGCTAGCTCACCAGCTTTTCATCAACTGAAAGTAAACAATTCACTCATAGTCAGTTCTTTGCGAACTAAACTTTAGCCCCAGCCCCACATTAACTGAAAGTAGACACTAAACGCAGTTAGATTCTAAAACCACATAAACGGAATGTAAACAATACACTCATAGTTATAGACCGGGAGCCCAGGGGGTCAACCTAGCTGAAAAGTGTACCAATTTTCTCCTATATGGTATCAATGTATGTATATCTGGTATCATCAAAATGTAAGTCTGTCGGGTTTCTGGTGGTGGGTGTGGTATTCCACTCCCTAAATGCCATGACCCCCAACTAGGCTAGATTAGCTCAAAAGTGTACCAAATGAAAATCGTACCGCAGTGTACCGTACATTTCCAGGTATTACAAAATCACTCTGACAGACATTTCTAGTGGTGGGGTACCCCTGACAGAGCTATGTAATTGCCAGACATTTGTAGTGGTGGAGTATCCATGACAAGAGTTATCTAATATTTAGACCAAAGCTAGGCTAGATTAGCTCAAATCTGTACCATCTAAAACAGCTTTGGGGTTGTTCAGTACCACCACAGGGGTCATGATTTTTGGGAAAAAACGTTTTATGGGGCTAAAAATGCGTTTTTGAAAAAAAAAATGTTCCTGCAACCGCAGTTTATCGCCTCTTCAATACGTGGTAGGTATTACTATTCTACGTATCCTGGCTAAAAAATTAATTTTTTAAAAAACGGGAACAGTGCTTGCGAAGTTAGCCTAGTTGGGGGCGTGGCATTTTGGGGCGTGTCTGTTAGGGGTGACCCACCGCACAAACTGTCTGGCAGTGGTCATTCATGACCCCTGTGGTGGTACTGAACAACTCCAAAGCTGTTTTAGATGGTACAGATTTGAGCTAATCTAGCCTAGCTTTGGTCTGGAAATTAGATAACTCTTGTCAGGGATACTCCATCACTGCAAATGTCTGGCAATTACATAGCTCTGTCAGGGGTACCCCACCACTAGAAATGTCTGTCAGAGTGATTTTGTAATACCTGAAGATGTACGGTACCTTGCTGTGCGATTTTCATGTGGTACACATTTGAGTTAATCTAGCCTAGTTGGGGGGCATGGCATTTTGGGCGTGGAATCCACACCCACCACCAGAAACCCGGCAGACTTACATTCTGATGATACCAGATATACATACATTGATACCATATAGGAGAAAATTGGGGTACACTTTTCACCTAGGTTAACCCCCTGGGCTCCCGCTTTATTAGTTCCTTGTAATATCTAACCTAAAATTAGACAATAAAATCATTGCTGTCCCATAGCATGACATATACTGAAACTAGACAAAATAAATGTAGTAAGTTTTGCATAAACTAGAGGTGAACAATAAACCAATAGTTAATAAAAAAAAATTAAAGAAAAAATTAATTAAAAGTCAGCATAATATAAATCAAAAGCAGTGTCTTTCAGATAAAAACGCTGTAGAGATATTGGCCAAAGTAAGTTTTCTTGTAAATTTAAGATTCTTGCTGTTACCAATTATTTGTAAATATATGGTTTGCTAGTATTGTTTACATTTTTGCCTTATCCTAGATATGAGTTCTGGGCTCCGATTTCTTGGAGACAATCACTTGACCAAGTTGCATCTGGAGCACACAAGGCCGATGCAATTGGAAGTTCCTGTCAATTATGGCACCTGAATAGCGGTTTTAATCATCTAGAAGAGCGAGCCCTAGTGCTACATTTAGCTTTGTACTGCCATAATTGAGTGATATTCTACACATCGTATCCAAAATATAAACAATTTCATAACAAAAAATTGATAAAATTATGCTGAATGATTGGAATTTTGACAAAGCCGCGTATTATCGATAAGTGGGAACAGAAGCGTAAACTAAATAAACCTACCAATTAAAACCTGCGATACAGACAATTGGGAGAAGACTTTGATTCCCGAGACATTTAACAACCAAGGTCAAAGCCATGGCCATGCTGTCGGCAAATGACATAAAACGCGATTTTTTAAAAACATATCTTTTGATATTATTGGAATGACTAACCAAATTAACGGAACGAAAGTAATATCTAGTTTTTATTAGATTCCAAAACACAGATACATCAGCACATGGTAATATAAAATTATGGAATGGTGTTTTAGGATATAAACATTTTAAATCCAGACTGTTATTTGTTTGCCCAACACACACCAAGCTTAAGTTTGTTGAATATCTTATTATGACAAAACAGAAACCATATTGAAACGAATGTGACTTGTATTCGACACTAAATACAAAGCTTAGACTAGAAGTTCAAATACGGAAGAAGATTCCAATCTTTGCTAAGGAACCAATCTGGAGATGTATAATATTTTTAGTCAGAAACGTTACTAATTAAGAACATATTTGGTTTATAGTTTCGATGTAACCGATGACGTAGGAAGTCGTCTGTAAGATTGTAGAGAATAATCATCTGTGTGTGTGTTTGTAAGGCCATTAGAATCTGTGATCAGGCAGATTAGACATAAATTTCCACAGTACTACTATGAAGCCATATTATTATCTCTTTGTAAATCGGCTTAAATGGAGTCATCAATGTAGCTTACTGGCAAGTTTACAGGGGAAAATGAAATAAACAAATAGCTTTATGACCTATGACGTTAGAAGGGATTACCTTAATCCGCATAACAAAGTCTCCTCATAATAATAGGTATCATAACATTAATGAGAGAGAGAGAGAGAGAGAGAGAGAGGGACCCTCTATACATATCAGTTGCAAACAATTGAAGTACAAATGGGTTTATCGTCCTACATTTCAGCCCGGGCTGGGCTAACTAAGACGGACATACGCAATGCAGCGTGCTACGAGCACATTTCGACATTCCATCTATCAACGATTCTGTAACCTCCTGGCTATTGAGCCACCTTATGCACTGAGCCACCGGGGCTAACAGCTCAATTATTTGATATGAGTATATCTAATCGGATTCTCTTATTCACCAACATCCAGCAGATCAACTATTATATGTCGCTTGAGAAATTTGTCATTCAACATATAACATTCGCTGAAGAGAAAAAAGGAACTTTTCGTATATACATGTCTGAAGTATGTCAGACGTTTTTCGTTGTACTAACTGAATAAGTAACAATATTATTTGACGTTATTGAAAAGTTACGTCTTCCTACAAAGAAAATTAAAAGGTAATGTAGTTTTACTCTACAAAAAAAACTGCCATATAATTGAGACTGTGGGCGATTCCGTTTTATGTAATGGTTGACTTGAACTGCACTAAAGATCAAATGGCATTTAACGTCTTACTTTTGTTAACCAACAGGGCCCTTATTCACGAAAACTTAAACTAAGATACAATCGAAATTTTAAGAAATACTGCAATTCGATTGGCTGACCAATATGCAAATTGGATATATGCAAATTGATTTTACTGGTCAGCCAATCGAATTGCAGTATTTCTTAAAATTTCGATTGTATCTTAGTTTAAGTTTTCGTGAATAAGGGCCCAGGGCTAATCAAGACGGACATACACAATGCAACGTAATAGTAGAATGTTCTTTTGTGTGCAAGCCAATGTGTACACGGGGTCTCAGTTTTCTCGTCCTACCCAGACGATTAGACGCTTCTCCAGACAGTGGCGTTTTTTTTACAGGATTAAAAAGTCAAGGCGTGTAAGAAGCGTGTTTTTAGTTGCTAGGTCAATCTGAACACGACAGTACTTTTACATGCTGACAATATATGGCCTAAAGATGCATTATGCAATAGCTAAATCCGCCTTTTGCAGTCTCTTTTCTTGCTTCAAATGTTACATAAATCATTAATTAGACATTTATTCATTAGCCCATATTCAATTCCCTTGACGATCAGATGACTGAAATATAAAACACCCGCGCCATTTAATAATTTAACGTCGAGACTTTGTTTATTATCGTAGAAATGTTATTTGACAATCAAGATTATTTACGCTAAATCTTCTCAAAACCTCAAACATTCATAACTTCGCTCAGAATAAAGTAATTTGACTGATTCATATTTTATTATCTGTTTTTAAAATAGTATAGCAATAACGACCATTTCTTTATCAAAATCTTACATAATGCGTCTTTAACATTTATTGGATTGGTTCAATGCATCTAAATACTATGTCAGTGTTTTTTTTATTTTTAATATTAAATGCATTTGACAATCCAATTAAGTCTTCTCCTTTTTAGCCATGAGATGAGAAATTAGATCTTTTTACCTTTGTAGCATCTGATATAGTTATCGAGAATCATTGTGTGTCATTTTAATGATTGTAGTGTTTGAGTGATTTAGGAAGGTTAAGCGAGCATTACAGTAATATCATGAATTATTTTCAGATAAAGACCATGTTATAGTTTTACAAGTAAATGTTTTACGACAACCCATAAAATCGCGTATCAATAATGGCAGAAGGTCAACCACTGAAGTGTAGTAAGCCACGTTTATATGTTTTACAATTATATCTATTTAACGTACATATAACTTGCAACAAACAGAGAGAGAGAGAGAGAGAGAGAGAGAGGGTTAATGTCGACTCGACACAAACTAGGTCATTTCGGGACTAACATATGGTTTAATTTTATTTCAATAATCCGCTTGCGCGTAGGGTTCTTTAGCAGTGGGAGGAAACCGGAGGGACCCAGAGAAAACCCACGAGGTTGGACAGGCGACCCTACCCCTTGTCACGTGTCACGTACAGCCGAGGATTCCAAACCACGCCAGTTGACTCAATGACAAGCCTTATGATACAGCGCGCACGTGTTAACCATTCGGCCACCCCCCCCCCCCCCTACAACAAACAAGTAATCAAATGAAATGGAGTTTTATCTTCTACTTTTCTGCACCAGTCGCCATTCAGATTCAATGTGCTAGGGTGGAAATCTACCGCTGGCTGCGAACTTGTCCCCCTACTCTTAAAGAGAATTCAAACTGTAAAGGAATCTTTTACGTGCATGCCAACGAGTACATGGGTGGTAGACGATGTTCATTGACAGACCACCCGTGCTGTATCACAAGACGAAATCAAGATAGAAATAAAAAAAAACCTTCTTGGTCAACTACAGGATCGAACATGGGTACCACGGCCTTACGGCGTTGGCGTTAGTATTCTTTCACTTTTGTTTTGTGTATGTTTTCTTCATGTGTCCTTTTCTTTAAAATAAAAGTACATCCATTCCGACATTGTTTCATATTTTTCAAGATAGCCAGCTGCAGTCTATCTACTGGGCACTAGTATCTCCACTGTGCGGGTTCTGGCAATACAGCCTAACCTTATTTCGATAGTTAACTTGCTGCCAGTGGTATATAAGCGGCCTTGTTTGTTTTTTTTTTAGGGGGGGGGGGTGTTCCATGGTTAATGTGCCAGGGTCATACTGTTGATGTTGATGGTATATTGTATTTCACCCATCTTCAAATCCCTAGATATACAAATCTTCAATTGTATTGGGTGTACAAAACATGCAATTCGGATGTTTGGATAATTTGCTCCTGTGGAGAAGAGATTTAGCCTTAATTTTGTGACATATATTCATTGTATGTAAGACATATCATAAACTACGAGTTCAATATTTGAGTGACTACATTAGCGAAGAGAATGGATTTTATAATTTATTATTAACATGAGATGAAAAACTTTTGTTAGTTATCTATATAGATAAGATAAGGGTATTAAGAAACGAATTATTAAAATCCTAGTCCTAAATCCTTTATATTGACCATCTCACTAGAAGGCTATCTATACACCAAGGCTGTTGAAAAGTAAACTAACTCAACGCATCATTTATTATATTGTTATAGTTATATATATTTGGGGGGTTGGATGGCTGAATGGTTAGCGTGCGCGCGCTGTATCATAAAGTCTGTCATTGAGTCGACTGGCGTGGTTTCGAATCCCCGGTTGTACGTGACAAGGAGTAGGGTCGCCTGTCCAACCTCGTGGGTTTTCTCCGGGTCCTCCGGTTTCCTCCCACTGCTAAAGACCCCTACGCGCAAGCGAATTATGTAAATAAAATTAAACCATATGTTAGTCCCGAAATGACCTAGTTTGTGTCGAGTGGACGTTAAACCCCATTTCTCTCTATATATATATATATTTGTATGTATTATTACCAATCCATACCATACCACTGTCTTACTTGACCACTTTATTGTATTATGATTTGGATCTATGGGTCTTTGACCTAAATCTTTAATAAACAATATCTTAATATCTTTCACCCATCCGTGTACCGCTTCTCATTTGAAGCGTTCACACAGCTTTGTTTTGTATTTTTGAATTTTGAATGTGTACCAAATGAAATGAAATGAAATGAAATGTGGCTTTATGGCACATCAGCTCCAACCGGGCTATAGTGTACCAAATGAGGACGACGACTGACTGAGATGGTTGTGTTCATAGTGGAATGAATTACAAAGATAGTAATATAAAAAATTCATGCTCATACGAGCGTAATTTTAATGAGCGTAAGATGAAGAATCGGGTTGGACGTCCGACCAAACAGGTACAGTAGTGCGCAGGAACCGTTCATAACGTCATCATTGTGCAATTATTCTGACGATCGTACATGAATAGGCGGGCGTCGGCCCCAAGAAGAACAGCAAGATGAATAGCGCTTGGTGACTAGTTGCTAGTCTTAAAAAAACGTCGATCGCAACATCAACATAAAATGATCTAAAATATGAGAAATTTAAGCCACATGTGATAAATGTCGATCCATAAAGTTTAAAATAAAAGAAGAGAAAAAAGATCAGTTGAGCGGAGATAACTTAATAGTCCGAAAATACATACTGAAAGAAAAAATTCTGAAGAACATTAATTTAAATAAATGTCATTTTAATATTAGGTTATCTATATTGGAATAGAATGGTAACAGCCATTTTGAGACGTAATCGTTTTATGGCTAAAGGTGCATTATGTAAGATTTAGATAAAGATATGGTCGTATTTGCTACAATAGTTTTAAAAAGATAATAAAAATGAACCTATTGAAATTTTTAGTCAAATTACAATATTCGAAGCGAAGTTATAAATGTTTGAAGTTTTGACAAGAAATAGCCCGAATAGTCGCGATTGTCAAGTACCGTGGTCAAGTCTCGATTTTCCACGTTAACGTTTATGCAGACATGGCATACATCGCCTAGTCCACCTAGATCATCCGGTGTTCTAGAGAGTTGAGTATAGGCATATAAATATTTATATAAAATTAATTAAAGCTTGAAAATAGACCTGTAATAGGCAGATTTAGCTCTTATATAATGCATCTTTAATATCATTAGTTTGTTTATCGAAATGTTATTAAACCAGTGTTTAAAAATCAGTTTACGTCGGCATACCTTTTATCTTTTCATCTTTTACCGTGAAATAAATTAGTGCAGCTTTAAGGTTGTGCTAATATGCTTGAATACATATAATGTAATCATTCTAATTATATCAATATGCAGGTGTACCAAAATGGCGCATCATTGTAGAAATGTTTTTAAAGGCATTCTTCTTTTTGTTTGCATCTTTCTATAGTTTGTAATGATAGACAGGGAGTGTGGGTGGAACAAAGTCCGAAGCTGGAGGCAATTTAAAACACTAGTTAAATTCCCCCGGAATACTGCCGATGACAACAAAAACATACAAAAAATCATTTCAAAAGAGTACAGTTTTCAAGTCGGTGACAGTACAATCATTATCTGTCACCGGAAAGTGTTTTAAAATGCATAGGTTGATGAGTTGTTATTTGGTAAAAACAGAACATAGTGGTCTCCAGTAATTCTTCAAATATTAATCTAAAGGATTGCATATTTCATACTATCAAACAAGAAAACCGAAAAATTACTGAAAAACGATGATGATATGCGACGTTGATTGAAAGATTATTGATAATAGAGAGTTCTTTATGTCCGAGAAATTTTCGTACTTTCCGACAGTTCATTTTGTTATTAAAGTGTTTCTTGGGATGCTAACTGCGAGGGATCAATTTTGAGAGGATGATCAATGAGCTACGATATCATTTTCAATAGATCACCAGTTATAGATAGAGGTTGATGGCAATATACCAGTTAATGATATGTCTAATCTTTAATTCGTTGATTTCAGCTTATCACCAGATTAACACCGAGTTTTATATTGAAATTTGACAGATTATTAAAAGAACTAATAATTAACATCAACTGTTCACAGGAAAAACAACAGCAGCAGCATACCAGGAAAATAATTCAGGAAACAATCGCTTTTAATATTTTTTTTGTAACGTTGCATTTTAAGTAATTGCAACATAAGCCGGAAGTGATGTGGGAAGATCTTCTAGACAATAGAAACATGACTTCCATTGTTGCTATTCTCTACCTACTTTCCTGCCAAATTATGCTCTTATTATGCAGATACTGAAGTAGTACTTCACCATGCAACTATTTTGTAAAAGTTAAATCGTAAACCGATTTTTGTATAGTGACAAGAGATTAGTTCCCCCACGTTAACTTACATCCCAACATATATTATTGATCACGTTATTGGCCCTTATCCAACGAATTGAATGGAATTTAAAATGGGTTTTGACTCTTCCGGAAATGTAGTATCGAATTTAGATAACAATAGATCTCGAAAGGTAAGGTTATGCAGTCATTATTATTTCATCTCTCTGAATATCTTCCCAATCAATAATCGCAGTGCCAATAAATCATAATCAAGGTAAAGAAAGCACAATCAAGATAAAGAAAATCATAATTAATAATTCCAATTAAGATATAGTAAATCACATTTAAGATCTAGTACACTACAATCAAGATATAACAAATCATAATTCCAATTAAGATATAGCAAATCATAATTCCAATTAAGATATAGTAAACCATAATTCCAATTAATATATACTAAATATTAATTCAAATCATAATCTTCAGATCTAGTCAATCACATTTAAGATCTAGTAAATTACAATCAAAATAAAGTAAATAACAATCAAGATAAGGTAAGTCACAATCAAGATATAGTAAATTAAAATCAAGATAAAGTATATCACAACAATTAAGATAAAGTGAATCACAATCAAGTAAAAAAAAACAAGATAAATTACAATTAAGATAAAGTGAATCACAATCAAGATGTTGTAAATTACAATCAACATAATAATAGTAAATCACAATCAAGATATAATAAATCGATGAATAACAAAGCAATAATAATATACTTACTTCTAGTATCAAGCTTTGTTTCACTGACGATTTTAATGAACGGATTTTCGGAATGTGTATGAAAGTATGGACCTTGGTAAACTTTTCTAAACCTCACTGTTATGCCATATGATTCTAATTGCTGTAAATCAAAAATAAAATAGTTAAAAAAAACTACGATGGAACAACAGCTTAAATAAAAAAAAATAAATGGGATTTTCATGAAGACCTCTGGTACAACAATCCTGTCTTTAGATCGGTAATATTCCTACAGGTATTTTATAATGCTACTTCAAGTTTTTAATACTTTCATATACTTTCTTCTTGATAATAAGATTCCCGTATCACTTTACATACTGACACCCATCCCCGGGAAATGCAGATATTATAATAGTATTTAATCAAGATAGAAAACAAAAAAAAATGTTTAATTGCAAACCAAGGTAATAAATGGTTGTATTGATAACATCTACATACGTTTTGGAGAAGAGGTTATGAATAAGGGCCCTTCTCTCGGTCGTTTACCGTTAACTAGCTTTGGTAACAATCATGTTACTATATGATCGAGTCATAACAATAGAGATTTTTGGCAAGCATAAATTCCTGGTCCGTATCCCGTATCCGTATCGATTTTGCACGTGACGTCATCGATGTTTGTGTATTTCTCATACGTGATACGGCACACGGATACGGCAGTCGTATCGAACAGCTTTCAAACGGAAAAGGTCCGTATAACATTGTCGTGTCCTTTTACCGTCTTTTTTGCTACTTTTAGACGCTGAAATGTTGTGCCATAGTGTTTCTATGAATCTATGTGTATCTTGGAACACTAACGTATGTATTTGATGTGATTTTAACCATGATAAAGACTAGAATTTAATCATCATTTTTGACGAGTTTTTCTTGGAATTTTCATATTTTTCCTGTCTGTCTGTAGATTCTACATAAATATTGTTTTTAATAGCTCCGCCGCAACTGTCACACGACCTTACTCCCTCCTGGAATTTGTAGGCTGGGCAATTGACTGGTACTGATGATAATCTTGGTAAATAACTGCCACCATGCTGTAATAGAACTAGGCTCAGCTCAGCTACTCATATGTACGCGGCGCAAAAATCTGCCGAAACTCTAAAACTACTTTGACGATACGGATACGTGGTATGGATGGAAAAATTTCGCTTGCCATAAGTCTCTAATATTTTTTTAGTACTTTCGTAGGGGAGCCAAGTAAATAACGGTTAAGATGCCATAAAATACGACATTTTCACCCAACACCACGACATTAAAAAATGTTGTAATGTCGCATTTCGTATTGTCGGGTTAAAATGTGATGTCTGGTTGTCGGCCATATTCCTCTCAATACTATGATTATGTACTCTGATCCTGGTGTTGGTCAAGAAAGTTCCCCGGGATTTTGCAGCGTGGTTTCTCCCTGTCGGTAGTGCAGGACAAAGCATCTGGCAAAGAACAGTGTCTAGTTGTGTTGATGGGACAAAAACAAGCGCCTGTGTACACATCGGCGTACAGATAAAAGAATCCTTCACAGTTAAATTTCGATGAAGAAATGCCACGGTCCATTGAAACTTTCCACCATAGCACTCTGCACAGCGAATGCCTTATATCTTCAATATCCCAGTTGGCGCAGAAAAGTAGGAACATGAATGAAATGAAATTGGGTTTAACTTCCTACTGTTCTCCTCAGACTAGGCTAATGAAGACGGGCATACGCTATACAGTGTACTGTGAGGGAAACATTGCCCGGATAGCGGCGCTACGACCTACTCTTATATTGAACTCCAACTGCCAGATGGTCTTTACGTGCACGTTAATATTGGCATAGAACCTCGATTTTTCGTCCCATCCAAAAGACTATATTATACATTATCCCTTGCTAAGCCCTTCGTTCGGTCCCACTGTAAAAAGGAATCATGCCAAAAAATTCCCGGTGAGTTTTCTCGGCCAAGGCAGGGATCGAACACGGGACCGCCAAACTAGCGAGCCAGCGTCCTAGTCACTTAGCCACGGTGGCTCCCGGAGCAGAACAGTAGGACGCTAAACCCCATTTCATTTCAATTTCCTACTTTTCTGTGCCTATCGGACCATTGAAAATAGGCATACGCTATGCAGAGTAATGTCGTAATGTCGCGTAAAAATGTCGCCTTGTCGGGTTAGAATGTCGTGATATCGGGTTACGGGTTGTCGTCTTATGAAGGGCGACAACACGACATAACGACATGATACCAATCAGCCACCATAATGAACTATAAAAATTATATATATACATCAATAGTTATTGTTTGTAAGTCATATTCAATATAATCTATACTTTAGGATTTTATTATATGTCTGGTCAGAAAGTATTAATATTCCGCTAGAAAATGGCGTCTAAGTCAAACCTTTGTGTGTTATTAGTATAAGAATGGGTTTGTAATCTTGTAAGGTAACGAGTTCTAAATCCGCCTGTATTGAAATATCCATCAGAGACAACTTTAATTCTTGTTTCCTTGACAGCAGGATGAAACATAAATGGTTCCATCATTCCCAATAATAGACGCAAGGAGACGTATAAACTAAAAATAATTTACCATCTAATTTCATTCTATTTCATCTCACATTTTAATTCCATTTATTTTGATCTACAATGTATAAATTCTAAACTGTCTGCGAGACAAACGCACGAAAAAATGGTAACCATTTAAATACACATGTATGTCAATTTTAATTTTTGATATACATGTAGATCGATATCTGTATCTCTTTCTTTTTTAAAGGAAGTAATGTGTGAGAAGAGAAGAAATGGCGTCAATTAGATTTACATTTGGTGTTTATCTCTTTTGTAGGGCGATGTTGTCTAACATTTATAATTCTCTTCCCGTACGTTGAAGCTAATAATGAGATAGAACATCTTTTTACATCTTAAAGAATTTTTATACCGAATTAAAATCGGTTCACAGACCGACCCCAATTTACTCGTATAGTGCATGGCCCTCTCCTCTCGTAGATCCCAGTTTCTGTGAAAGGAGGGGGTGTGACAGAGTGGTATAACTGTAGTTTGGCATGCCCCAAAATTGCCGAAGAATCTTGCGAAGATACATTTTCGTGTTCAATTCGTGTGACCAATTTGTCCCTCATAAGGCCATCGCGAGGGCATCTTGTCAGATCGTGTCAACTTCATCTTTACTTCGTCGGTGTTATTGGGCAATTTTCTCTTCACGAAGTTAATACGAAGTAAACAAGAATTTGCCCGATTGTCTTCGGAAGGCAACACTACGTGAAGCGGTCATCTAGCCTTCATATAGTACGATGACATCGAGATCGAAACACGGTGTCGGTGAAGACAGACGAATTTGAGTAGCGCAAACATTTCCCATGAGTCATGGCAGCGTGGATATATAAGATAGGTTGCCACTTTTGCCAGGCAATTAAACATACGTCCACAGCTGCTAAGTCGTCCGGTCAGTCAACAAGGGTTGTCGTATATTTTTTCTGTTATCAGTAATGGACATATTTACAACACACTAAAATCTGATACGAGTAACAACTCATTAAGTAATTATCAGAAATCATTACAATTTGTTTCGATTGTTTATCTCATGACCTTAAACACTGTGTATATATTATTATTAACTTTAACCTCTAGTGCGTCTCAAGATTTCTCAAGTGACCATGGGCCATAACTCTGGCAGTAATTAACAGAAATCAATGAAAATAAATAACTTTAGCCTCGAGAATATCAACTCTATTTTTCAAAGTGATCAAGGTCCATAATAATTAGGCTTCTTCGTCGCATGACCTTAAACACTGTGTATAAACTTAATCTCAATCGGATTTTAACTTTAGCCTCTAGAGCGTCCACAAGCAATCGTGGACGAACAACAAATCAACAGTCCAAGCATGTAAAATGCCGACAGAAGGTCACACGACGGCACGCGAACCATACACGAAGGTAACACGAAATTGTGAATTTTGTACAGTAGTTCATACACGCAGGCCACACGATGGCTACACGGTGGCCTTGCGAAGCGCAAAATGGACAAAAGAATTCAACGCGAAAATGAACCTTTGCAATGTTTTGGAGTGACAAAGATTTTACCAGCGCTCACAAAGTTGCTGCCGGGGCCTGAGCAACACCACAGGCGGTGATACGATGGCTTAAGATGCCCTCACGAATGGCCTGATGTTTTTACGATCAGAGACAAATTTACTTTATCCTGTTACTTTATCGTGTGACCATTTGGGTCAATTCCGGGACATTTTGACATCCTAAAGAGCAACCTCCTAGGGCAACTCCCCAGACTCATCGTGAGGACTTCATGTGGCCTGTGGGTATAAACTACTACACAAAATTCACATCTTCGTATGACCTTCGTGTGTGGTTCGGGTGCCATCGTGTGGCGTTCTATAGCCATCGCACTTGCTTCGGCTGTTGATTGGTTGTTAACCAAGTTCGGGGCCATCTTCGCACGAAATTCAAAATTCCATATTCGTATGGTCATCTTGTCTCAATTTCGGGACAGTTTGACGCCAGCATAATAACTGACAATCCCGATAAAAACACGATAACAGAAATACCATAGAGAAACCAAGAGTGAGACAAACAAGAATATCAACAAGTACGGGTGTACTATATGGACCAGAAATCGAGCGTGAGGCCATATCAGCCATCTTGTAATTGTAACATCATACCAAAAATCGTCAATCGATGCGCAATTGTGCAAGGAATAGGCATTCCAAGTTTCATGTCGGTCGTATTTAAATTGGCGGAGCTTAGGCTTTGCCCCCAAGAAGGAGAATAAACCCAATATGAGCAGCGCTTGGGGACCTGTTCCTGTTTCAGGTCCAAAAATGATTAACCTCAATAAAAGAGTGAAATCTACTAATAAAGTTTTCATATCGGAATGCCCTGCATATATTTTTAAACAGTTAATTCAGATAAAATCAATGAAATAAAGAATGATAATCTGTATAATTGAGATATTATCATTCAATATCAGATTAGTCTATTTCTCATCAATCAGATTTACTGATATCTGATTAGTCTGTCAACTACCCAAACCATTTTCATTCCAATATTGAACTACATCAATTCCAAAACCTCAATCTACATTCCACCATCAAATTATTTCCTAACACAACATTTTG